AGAGGAAAAATAATGGAAGTAGGAACATCTTTTCTCCCTTTGCTCCTCATATGTTGCTGTTGATTCTTTCTATCTGCTTCTTGGGATATACCATTTAGATGGTGAGCATTTTGCTCAACAACAAATCAAAGCTTTTCTTATGTTCTGCATCAGTTCTCATGAAAGATAGCAGGCAGATGGGTGTGGAAACTGAAGCTCTCTACCTACAACAAAAAACCACATACATAAAATTTCAAGATAGGCATCTGTGGTTTAGGCATTACTGAGCCTGGCTTTGGGTAGGAGGAGAGGAACTGTGTGACCGTCTGAGCTCCCTGTCAGCTCTGTGGTCTGTCCTACCACCATACTAGATGAGCTGCACTTGGAAAGCACAGGGATGTGAGGAATCCTGCCTAGCTCTTCCTGATTTCTTCTGCACAGACGACAATCAAGCAGTATTATTATCTGAAAGCAAACTCCCTTGTATATAGTTTTGGTGACACTTCCTATTGACACAAGGTTCATTACAAAGTAGCCTTCCATTATAGTTTGGCACTGCAAAGTGCAAATTGGATAGTATTGCAGTTCTGTTGAGGTGGCTGTGAATGAGGGTTTGTATGAAGATGGCATTTGCCATATAGGGTTAGCTTTGGCTATTTTGCCCCTCCTGCGCTTAATTCCAAACCAGATACAAAAATCAGAAGAGAGATGATTGCTGAAGAGAACTGGAAGGGTTTTCCCATGTATGACTATCAATTTAGAACAGAAAGAGTATGGGGGTTAATTCGGAACAGAAACGGGGAACAGAAAACACTATGGGGGTTAATTATTTTTTCAAAGTTTTGTAATAAAGCTATGCATGGATCTGGAGGCTTTTTAACATTAGGATGTTCAGTGTGAAAGAATGCAATTAAATACTCCATAAAATTCAGCAAAAACTAAAATTTATTTTCACAGGGATCCCCAAAGCCAATGATATACTGTGATTTTAAACACTGAGTAACTGTTAATATAGTACTGTGACAACTCTCAGAATATCTACAAAGCTAATGGAAAAATAAGAGAAAGGTGACACTGTCAAAGTTTGCTTATTTGTTGAAGTGACTTATTGTGGATCATTGCACGCAGTGCACAGAAAAATGCATAAATATATTTGGCACACTGGGCCACTTCCACATTCTTGGAAGAGTGTGTGGGATTTGAAAGGAGGCTGGAACCAGGTGAAAAAAGGCTAAGTATTTTTGTGCTTTCAGTCACAGTGTAGATACAGTGCTTTTTGATAGTGTGGACACCCACAGCAAAGGGAACCAGGCCATACAGGTAACTATACTCAGGGCATTTCTTGACTTCTGAGGGCTTAAGATTAATAGCTCAAAACTCTTTTGATGTAGGGTTTTGCTGTGTTTGTTCTATATTACAGCATTCTGTTGCTGAACTGGTCTAGCATGTCTCTACAAAAAGACATAGAATCATAGAATTTACTGGGTTGGAAGAGACCTCTGAGATCATCAAGTCCAAACCTTGATCCAACCCCACTGTGATTACTAGATCATGGCACTCAGTGTCACATCCAGCCTCATCTTAAAAACCTCCAGGGACAGTGAATTCACCACCACATGTGGAAATCGTCTTTAGAGACAAAACAGAATAACAGAATCACAGAATCTGCTGAGTTGGAAGGGTCCCACAAAGATCATGGAGTCCAACCCTTAGCACCCTTAGCACAGATTAACAACGTGCTGCACTGTGTCACTCTGACACTGCTTTCAACTATTTGCTGTCAATACATTTGAAGTTCTGCCTTTATCAGTAATTGTTGTACGAAGCTGTCTGGAACATGATAGTTTACTAAATTCTTTATCTCTGTGCTAATTAGCATAAAAGCAGAGCAATAGCAAAGCCCTTAGTCATGTTTTCTGTACCTCAGGACTTTTAATCCACAATATTCATACGCCATGTTGCAAAATATAATCCTTCAAAGTACAACACTACCATATTTTCTCATGTATTATTAAAAAAAATCATTAAGATTTAACTCTGCATGTGAGCAGTGTATGATAGGAAAGACAGAGCGAGTGACAAGTCTGTTCAGCTTAATGCAAAGTTACTCATTACTGTGGGAAGCTGTATTCAAGCATCCTGGCATCAACAAAGCACGTGGTCTCAAACTTTTGTGTTTTCCAGAAATGACTGACAGTGCTACCAGACTGAATTTAGTTATTTCCTGAATTTTGAAGGCTTGACTCAGTGACCTAATATACTTTGTTTTTTGTAACTGTGTGTGGAATGTCATGCCACTACAAAATGGTGCCTGGAGGCTGGGAAAAAAAGCCAGTTCTTGTTCAGACATTTGTTTCTTTGAAAAGTTTTGTTGTACAACTGGTCTTTTAAGTAGAATTTCATAAAAGCTTGATACACGTAAGAAAAATGTGCTTTCTCAAATTATTGTAGTAAAATGCTGTGCTGTCATTTAGTGGTATACAATCTCAAAGACTAGTACACTATCTTGATTTCCTTTCCTCAAGGAATCCCTATATTATAGAGTGTTCATCCAACCTGAAATAAGTGAGATGTAATTTCTGAAATGAAAGGAGTGGGATGAAAGGTCAGGCATGGCCTAGGAATTCACCTGTGGAGTGCAGGGGGTACGTGAGATGCCTAATTTGAGTCTGCCTGCATTGTAGAGCTTATTGTCTCCCAGAAGCATGCCTCTGCCTTTCCTGCCCAGCTGATGGAAGGTCAGAGTAATAGCTTCGGTCTAAGACACTGAGAGGTACTACTGTCACTTGGGACCCTCAGGGTCTGTGTAGATTATTTGCACCTTGCCTAGAGATCACTCCTATTATTTTGTTCTGCAAGTGTGACTGCAAAGCTACTTGCCTAGTCCCAGAGTTTGTTACAAAGTTGGAGCACCAAATCTGTGTTGTGCTGCCTCTGAAGGCATCACAGCCTTTCTTACTCCCTGCAGTAAGGTTGTTAGTGACCTTTATGAATGTGACCACCTTTCACGGTGCACAGAAGACTTGAAGAACAATAAAGATTTCAAGATTTTAAGCTCTCCTCGGACAGCAGGTTTTGAAAACAGTATTACTATACACAAAGTAAATTGCAAGGGCTGACTGGGTGTTGCCCTCAACGTAGTGCAACAGCTCCATGCCACAATACACAGCTGAAGATGGAAAGTGTAAACAGCCTCATTAGGAGAAGCTGGTCACTGACTAAAAATTTTTTTCTGTAGAGATAACGGAGATATTTTTCAAGCACTTCTTGTACACTTAACCCAGAATAAGTGCATGAAGAGATGAATCAAGTCTTAGCACCTGTCCAGTGGTCTCAGGTAATGTTCCCAGAAGGAACTGCTACCATGTAGTCCAGCTTACATTTCTGTTCAGGCAGGTATACACAGTACTGCATTGCTGAACAGGGAAGGTGACAATGTTACTCAATCATTTTGTTTGTTGGTTTTCCTTTCATCTGCTTTTGACAATATGGGTCTCTGCTCCTGTTTCTCCTGTATAACCCGACATACTCTGTAAGTGCATCAAATAGAAGCACCTGAAACAAGCAGTGTTTGTAATGCACATGTATGAAAGGGATTCTTGACCCTTTTGTATCACAATTTTCACATCCGCTATTGCGTAGAAATCTAATATTGCACCTGGGAAGACAGGAAATACTTAGATTGAACTCTGCAGTTTGCCGCAGGTCTGTGGGTGAGGTACAATCTGGTTTAACCATTTGAGGCAGGAACTCACACCTGCAAATAACTGGTTTTAAAATCCTATTGCCAGACATCTGCAAACGGTATGATTAGATGAGTGCCTTAATTCCTTTACTTAGCATGCAACTGGTGAAGAAATATTGTGGGTTTTTTCAAGGATTATAGGTAAGAGGCACCTTTGGAAGAGAGTGTGCTATCAGTTAGAGAATTTGTACTCCCTGTCACAAGTAGTTATTATAGAGCATATCTTTGAAGCAAAACGGGATGCTGGTATGAGGTGGACAGGATTGCTGCAGGTGACTTTTACCCTCCCATTTAAAGACACGTACATTATCAATTAAAAGAGCATAAGTCAACCAAACTCAAAAACCCTGATTCCTCCCATCTTTGGAAATTGACTGGGAGAAAGAGAGAGGAAGAGGCTTTTATGTTTGTACTGCCATGGTGTCTTGATAGAAATTGAAGGAAGAAAGTGTGTCACACTCAGAAAGTACTTTTCATTCACTGCATTTGTGCTTTGTTGTAGCCCTAGTGTCACAACTACCCCCATTTTGTTTGTGAAGCCTGCAGCAGCCAGCCAACCCAGTGTATGAGACTGCTTCCTAGTTCTAGAGTTGCTGTACATTGTGGGACAGCTGTGGATACCTTGTTTCTCCCTCTGTAACATATCTTTTTCCCAGAAAGCAAAGAAGGAGCCACAACAGTGTGGCTGTTGGATGCCCTTTGGCACCGCTGCAAAGAGCAGTAAACACCGCTAGCCTGCCTCCCTACTTGTGCTTCTTTCACATACTGAATTACAGGAGGTTCCCTCTGAATGTGAGGAAACACTTTTTTACTGTGAGGATGAGTGAGCCCTCACTCTATGATTCTTAGCTTACAGGTGTCCTCTTGCAGACATATGAGCAGATGCTTTTCTTCCAACCATTTTGGACAGAGAATTACATAGGACATGATGTTTGCACCAACATGGTCCATTTCCCAGCCAATGGAGGACAGTGGAGCTGTAGGGCAGTAGCCCACCAACTTCCTCACCTGAAATATGAAATAGCCTGATGATAATTAACTGTGCACCTGAACTTGACTATTAACTTGACTACTGCATTCAAAGGTAGACAAGAAAAGCAAGGTGAAAGGAGAGCAGAAGTGTGCCAGCTCTGGAGCCAGGTGGCATCTGTGGGTAGTGAGCATCTCAAGAACTCCTTGAGCTTCAAAAGTGGGCAGCTGGAAGGGCCCCATGGGCAGTCCAGTGTCTCCCCCTCATGTTGAAGCTTGCACCCCACACATCCATAGTATGTGTTACCTCTTCTTGCCAGTCGTGTACTGCAGGATCTTCAGGTAGATATGAAGATTGCTGGTACTGAAGGCTCCTGATTTTTTCAGATGTTGAATTTCAGTGAAGCTTCTCTGGCTTTTGGCCCTTTGATCATCTTCTCTAAGTGCTTCACACCGCTCTAAAATTAGGACAAATATCGCAAGTCTTAACCATTACATTTGAGGATCAACACAGTCATATGATACAACTGATTATAACAGAATGTCATGCAAATGGGAGGGCTGGGACATCCCTTCTTGTGTATGGCTGATCCTCTGTTTAAGTTCCAGTGTTCAAGGGCTTTTTGAGAACAATTTTCATGAAAAGAAGTGCACAGCATAGATAACCTAAAAAACTCCAACAACCAGTCAAACTCCCCCCAAGCCCTGAAGAAATTACAAAAAAAAGGAAGTCTTTCCAACTAGAAAATTACTTTGGAAATCCTCCTAATTGATCTTAGAATCTTCTACAAAGCCAATGATAGGAAATTAATTCACTGGAAAAGCACACAACATTCAGAAAGAATACTGGCCACTCTAAGAAGTGCTACATCAATATTCAATATTTCATCTTGAATCCATATTTTAAAAAGTATTAAAAGTTAAAAACAAAAAGAAGAAACTGGTTTAGATGCAAACAATAACTGCAAACTGAAACCTTGTTTAAACTAAGAAAAAAGAATTGTTGTACCACCAATCAATCACCTTGTTACCAATCACTTGTATGCATTATAAAAATTCTTGCATTACCTGGACGAATTTTTACAACAGTACTGATTCTTAAAGGATGTGTAATTTGTAAATCGGCTGTGCAAACACTTCCTGAATAATAAGCCTCTGAAGTCTTTTTTGTGCTTTCTTATATTTGACACTGGTGACATCTTGTGGTAAGTTAGTCATGGTAAATAGCACCTGTTGCTTTTGCTGTCCTTGCTCTGCAGAGACAAGCTTATTGCTGTGTCATGGAATTCTACAGTTGTTAAAAAGTGTAGTATGCAACTTCACACTAACAAAATACTAAATATTTTAATAAAATTAAACACAAGTAAGTTAAGTCGAAAGAAATCTCAAAAAAGGCAAACCAATTATAATTGTAACTGGTTTGTACCAGAAAATTTATTATTCCCATCTGGAAAGCTAACCTCTTCTTGCTGAAATTGGCTGGTTAATAGAGATGTGGGATAAATGGAGAAGCATATATGTAACTCTCGGGTCAAGGGGGCTGCAAATGTCACCGTCCTAAACCTCCCCTCTTGTCTGTGTTCTGACTACAGTAATGTCACTTGGATATTTTGTCATCCCCAAAGTTACAGTGAAAGTCCACTATTAAACAAGAACTATCAGCATTAGTAGAGGACAAACAAATCAACTGGTGAATCCTGCAAAAGTCGTTACCATTTAAAACCAAAATCACTAACAAGGAAGGAAGTGTCACTGTAAGCTAAATGAGTGAGTAGGCTAGATTATCAAGTGAAATAACTTTGCAGCTGCCTAGCATGGTCATAGTGACATGGACAGCTTTATCTGGCCCTTGCAGAAATGATCAAGGTTTTTATGTTGTTGTCATAGACAATTTTCCCTGGCATTCTGTATGGTTTGCTGAAAGAGCGAGCTCTGCTGCAGAGCTAGGAATGAAAACAAGTAGTAAGGTAGAAATGGTCAAGGAAATTTGACCCTGTGAATTGCTTAACACAAGAACAAACAAAGTGGTTTTGAGAAGGGTTTTTAAGAGTCCCGCATATGCATTATGCTTAGCAATACATGAACTGTAATGCCTGCATCATCAACATAGTCTTGGATTTCAGTTAGGTGCTGAAATTTCAATGAGGATGCTGGAGATTCGCCTTGCAACTCACTGCCAAAGCACCCACTGCAGAACCAACCAAGTGATCAGTATTGCTGGGAATTAGTAGTCTTCCCTGGTACCAGTAGCATTATAACATTCGAGAAAGCACTGGCGCATTTAAGGCTGAAATACTATAGCCTTATTAGTAAGAATACTATGATCAAAAGAAGAAATTTGGTGAGCAAGCACGTTACTCTATTCTGGAAACACCAGAAGGACTGATACACATTTGCACAAAAGCTTTTACATGATCACAAGAAAAAAAAAAAAGAAAAATCACAGATTTCATATCTTTGAGTTTGTGTGTAGAAACTAACTGTCTGAACTGCCAATGTTTTGAACAATCTGGTCTAGGTCTGATAGCAGAAGTAAATTGCAAAATAAGGTCTCAGAGATGCTTATCTAAAACACTAACTCTGTTGAAAGCAATGGCAAAAACATCTGATCCTTATCAGTGTGCACATGACATGCCAGGGTGCACTCACAGTCTAGAAAGCCAACTTTATTCTGGGCTGCATAAAAACCAGGGTGGCCAGCAGGTCAAGGGATATGATTCTGTCCCTCTACTCCACTCTTATGAGACCCCACCTGGAGTACTACATCCATATCTGGTGTCCCTGGCAACTCAGACCTAAGATCTAGAGCTTTAGAGAAAGTCCAGAATGATGCTCAAGAAAATCATCAGCATTTAGAGAAGGCTTTACTGCTGTCTCACAGGTAGCTTGAAGTAGGAGAGAACCACCTTCTGTGAAAACACTGTTTTGAAACAACTACAGATACACCATATAAATATGATCAAGGCATGGCTAGGGCATTTTCAGAATGAATAACAGGGCAAGGATAACTTCCCTGGATCTTCTGTCTGTGTCTTTGCCAGTACAGCCAAGCATGTGGCTGGGCTTCTTTGCTGCAATACTGATCATAGAATCATTAAGGTGGGAAAAGGCTTCCAAGATCATAAAGTCCAACCTTTAACTAAATACCACCATGCCTAATAAACCATAGCATGAAGTGCCACATCTGCTCAGTTTCTGAACACTTCCAAGGATGGTGACTCTACCACTTCCCTGGGGAGCCTGTTCCAGTGCTTAACCACTGAAGTGAATAGTTTTCCTAATTTCCAATCTGAATCTCCCTTTGCACAAGTTGAGGTCATTTCCCCCTGTGTTATTGCTAATTGTCTGAAGAGACTGACTTCAGGCACAGTGAAGAGACTGACCCACACTTTGACACAACCTGCCCTCAGGTAGTTGTAGAGAGTGGTAAGATCCGCACTGAGCCTCCTTTTTCTCCAGGCTAAACAACTACAGCTCCCTCACCTGCTCCTGACAGGACTTGTACTCTAGACCCTTCACCAGCTCTGTTGTCCTTCTCTGGACACACTCCAGCACCTGAATGCCCTTCTTGGAGTGAGTGGCCCAAAACTGAACACAGGATTCAAGGTATGTCCCCACCAGTGCCAAGTACAGGGGAATGATTGATCCCTTCTCCCTTAGTCCTGCTGGCCACACTATTGCTGGTACAAGACAGGATGCCATTGGCCTTCTTTGCCACCTGGGCACACTGCTGCCACTCTATCGCCAGCCTGTAGTGCTGCCTGGGGCTGTTGTGTCTCAACGGCAGGACCCAGCATCTGGCCTTGTTGAACATCACACCAATGGCCTTGGCCCATTGATCCAGCCCATCCAGATCCCACTGCAGAGCATTCCTACCCCCAGAAGATGAACACTTTTGCACAACTTAGTGTTATCTGTAAACTGACTGAGGGTGCCTTCAATCCCCTTGACCAGATCATCAATAAAACTATTACACAGAACTGGCCCCAGTACTGAGACCTGGGGGACACCCCTGGTGACTGGCTGCCCACCAACTGGGCAGTGGAACGTAATTCTATTCACCACCACTCTCTGGGTCTGGTCATATAGCCAGTTTTTTACCCAGTGAACAGTGTAGCCATCCAAGCCGTGAGCAGCCAGTTTCTCTAGGAGAAATGCTGTGGGAAACAGTGGCAAAGCCTTTCCAGGCAGAAACATCCACGGCCTTTCCCTCATCTACTAAGGTTGTCACTTGGTCATAGAAGAGGATCAGGCTGGTGAAGCACGACGTGCCTCTCACAAACCCCTGCTGGCTGGGCCTGATCCCTTGATTGTCCTGCACATGCTGCTGATTGGTACTAAGGCTGCACTGTTGTAGTCAGTCATGGGTAGCCATGAAAAGCAATAATTTACTGCAGTTTTTCTGGATCACTGAGGAGAAAAATCTTGAACTAGTCAGAGATTTTACTTAAGAACACACTTATTAATTTTGTCTGTTTGATTCAGAAACTGGGACTGGGATTGAAAGTCTGTAAAGCTATAACTCAATGTTTGCACCTTTTGCTTTTTTTCTTTTGCTTTTACTTGAAAGAAAAGGTAGACAGTGTTGCTCTATTAAAAATGTTCAAGAGGCCAGAGATCAAACTATTCTTCATCCTGCACAAAGTATCTCTGTCTTGCAGAACAGTTGCTAAAGAAATAATCCCAATAGCCACACTGAAATGAAAATTCTGTGATTTGTGGTTGTATCTCCCTGTAATAGATGAGCCAGATTCTGATTACTAGGGGATGCCGTAAACCTTGAAAACTAGTAAAACAGGTGGTTTCACAGAAAGTACATTTCAGAAACCTAATCACATTCACAAACAGTACTGATATGTTTAAAGGCTACAGGTACCAGTGGCGAGGTCTCTACCACACTACCATAACAGAACTTTCAGGCACTCCAGATATCATGGACTGAAGGCCAGTGGTTTCTTATTTTAGTACAGAGGAAGCTGGAGAAGCTGCAGCAGTGTTCATTATGATTATGACTTCCCACAAAATGATCTGGAGTGTGAATGGACCCTGTCTCAGGTCTGTCCTACAGAGGTCACTGCAAACCCACTTCTGAGACAACTGCAATGCTGTTTTGTGATATCATTACACTAACACTGAATGCAGGCTTAAGTCTCTTTGTCTATAAATAGTCCTTATTTATACCCCGTACCTGTTTGCACAGTGACAAACAAAAATGTCATGTCTCCTTCACAGACAAATTAAATGTAACTGAGACCAAGACATTAGCAAACATTGTGTTCTGACTTAACTTCTCTGAGCCAGGAAAAAGTAAAAATTATGACTCCAGCTCGTTCTGTTTTTCAAAGATGTACTCTGAACTCTAAGTCAGAATAACACTTGCAGTCTTGAATTTCTGATTTTCTCCTACCTTAAGTGGGTCTGCAATTTCACAGATGTCTGTGACATTGTTTCTATGATT